CAATGCCATACACCCCACTACTGAATTAATGCTACTTCAGATATAAGTTTGTTAGTTAAACAATTACATATATACAAACTCTAAACAAAAAAAATCTAATTTTCTGGCATTTAGAAACATATATAAAATGTATTTATTCCACATGCATACAACAAACATACATACATAAATATTTATAGTATTTATACAAAACAGATAAAATCTTGTTAGTCATACTAAACAATGCAACACTTGCCTTCAGAAGTCTTTTCTGGTGATTTTTCACAATTGTCTTTCCCCGTACAATTCTCTATTACTTTAGGTACTTTTCCAAGTCATTGTTTAACATTTCTTTGTCCTGAAAATAAATATACGATAAAATAATTAAAAAAAATTGACCTATATAAAATTAAATATTTATTCATCTATTAGCCATGCAAAAGCCGAAACAATAAGTACAACTAAAAACAAAACCTAGCTCACATTATCTAAAGCTTTTTACAGCCGGTGCCACTACTAATGGTTCGACATGCTCTTGCACATATTCTCTACTACAACATCATTTGTAGTTGTATCATTTGTGTACACCTCATTTTTAGTAGTAGCCTCCTCCGTTTTGTCTTCTATACTGTCGGTACCGTCTTGTTCGACAACTTCCATTTTTGTCTCTTCTGGTCTTTTTTTATCAGCAGCAGCATCGTCTGTTGATTTTTTCTGCTGAATTTTCAACGACTGCTTTTTGTTCCTCTTCAGGTTGATTACTTGATTCGGATTTATCAGTTTCATCAGTTTTTGCGGTTTCTTCTGAAGGTTCTTCTGTTTTTATCATTTTGTTCTACTTGGGCCTTGTCTTCGGAGGTGGAATTTAGTGAAAGTGTCATTGGATTCGTCTACTTCGTCTTCTTGTTTGTTGATTCTTGTTTTTCTTCGGCCTCCTCCACCTTTTCACCTGGGTAAAGGATAGAGGACAATAATAACTATTATTATTTTCATATTTCATTTCATATTTCTTACTTTTTCTTCCCCTCCCGCGTCCCTTTGTGCCTTTGGGTGCTGGTGTAGATTTTGCCTTTTTCGTGGAGTTGTTGGGGGCGTAACTGGGGGTGTTGCTGGCGTTTTTAGTGAAGACCTAGTACGCCTTCTGCCTTCAATTTCAGGGTTCCACCTAGAGACTAGAAACGAAAAACAAAAACTTCATTAGAATGTTATTTTTTTTATGCTGAAGTAGTAATAATAAAACACTTTAATTAGTGCTTTATTATGCTAAAGTATTAATATTTATCATTTACCTTAATTAGTGCTTCACCCTCTTCTTTCATTCTTTGTAAAGCTCTGTTTCGTCTGCCCGGTTTGCCCTTCGGTGATTCCTGCACAAAAATTAATATAGTCAGAAAAAACTTTATATAAAATATATATGAAATGAATTACTTTTGGTTTTACAAGCATCTTATTACTCATCGTGTAATTTCAGAGAAATCTTTTTAGAGAAAATTAAAGGAAAAACAATAATTTTACAATAGTTTTGTAAAATATTTGACACCTAAATTACATTTAAAAAAACAAAAGCACATTTTTTAGAATTATCACATCACATGCCCCTTGTCAATTCAAAATGCAAATCACAATTATGACAAATATGAGAAATAAAATTTTGATTTGGTACCAAAAATCGATTAAGTTGAGAAAAGAATTCTTTTTTCTAATGTTTATTCTAGTTGTAATAAAACAACAAATGTAGATGTAAAAGCTTATCGAGTAGTGATTTATATAAAAATATATATATATGATTATATATATATATATATATTTTAAGACTAGAAAACAAACGTAACTCAAATAATAATAATAAAATAATCCTTAACTATCCTTTTCCACAATGAATCGTGAGTTTTTTCATGAATCTTAAATTTTAATTACTTGATGACTTGATATATGCATATTTTAGAATTTATCATCGAACACAAGTTTTGCATTGTGACGATAGTAATGATAGCAAATTTTATTCAAATTAAAAGTATTATATTGTTTTTTTGAAAATTATAACCTAAAAATATGTTCAAATTTAAAGTAACTTATATTGTTAGTAAAAGTACTTAATATTATTAATACAAAACATCTGGGTAACCCGACAAACGTTATTTACATATTGGGAACTTTAGAGTATTAATTGTGATAAATGAATAATAATAAATCATTTGTTGGTTTAAAAAAAGTTTTACAAATTAACCAGTAGAATTTATACTGTGTACTATTAATATATGCTATACTATACTATTAATATATGCATATTTTAGTATTTATCATCGGACACAAGTTTTGCATTGTGACGAGAGTAATTATAGCTAATTTTATTTAAATTGAAAGGTTTATATGCTTTGTTGGAAAATTATAACCTAAAAATGAGTTGAAATTTTAAGTAACTTATATATTATTAGTATACAAAGCATGCCTGGGTAACCCGGTAAACATTATTTTACATATTTGGGAACATAGAGTATAAAATGTATGAAATAAATAATAATAAATCATTTGTTGGTTTAAAAAAAATGTTATAAATTAACCAGTAGAATTTTATAGTGTACTATTAATATATGCATATTTTAGTATTTATCATCGGACACAAGTTTTATAATGTGATTAGAGTAATCATAGTAGATTTTATATATAATTAAGAGAATAATACGGTTTTTTGAAAATTATAACCTAAAAATAACTTGAAATTTAGAGTAACTTATATTGTTAGTAAAAATCTTATGTTATTAATACAAAACGTGTCTGGGTAACCCGGTAAACGTTATTTTACATATTTGGGAACTTTTGGAGTATAAATTGTATGAAATAAATAATAATAAATCATTAATTGACTTTAAAAAAAAGTTACAATTTTCACATGTAGGAAAAACGCATGAGACTAATATATAAGTTTTTGAATATTTATGTATGTGTAGAAATGTAAACAATACATTTGTAAACATATTTTAAGTAGCTTTAAAAATATTACAAGTACAAAACATATAGTACATTTATAAATATGAATCTTAGCAGGTTAGTCTGCACTTATTAAAGAAAACTGTGTTCTTTACTACCAAATAAAATTAGCCTGTACCATACAATTATATATTACCATATATATTACAATTTAAATATTCTCCTAGTTCATTTTTCGTGTTACTGTCAGTAATATTAGTTTCTAAAAAACAACATTGACAATCAACTTGTTTTCCCTCCATTTTAGTTGAAACCGCTCACGAAGTCCCGAGCAATCCCAGACACACGTCTCTTCGTAACTTACAAGAGACGCTCATAAATTCGTACGAGACGTATGTCGAATCTCACTCCCAAACACATTTATTGATAATGGAATTATTGAAGGACATTTAGCTAAAAAAATAGATACCCGTGAAATGCAAATTTATACCAAACCAACATAATTTTCTACGCCTAAAACAATAATAAAATCCTAATCTTTTCCTTTACGGTCTTTTCCTTTATGTTACCTCAACCCGACTTAAACATGGGGGCATGTGATTGTGTTTTTTGCTGTTTTTCTTAATTTTTACAAACATTTACCGATGTGGCGTTCTCTCCTTTGTTGTCGGACATCTCGGCGCGATTTTTGCACACAATAAACACTCACAAGAACACGTAACACTTGCTTTAAAACACTAAATTTTAATTAGAATCCGTTTTGCGAAGCGACCGGTCGGGAACTTGTACGCGGTGTGTGCAGCGTTAGGCGACTTCATAACAAAAATGGCGGACGCGTCGGTCACGTGACGGGCAAGATGGACGACGAGGCGCGAGATTCGAAATGGTAAAAGACACAAGGATTTGAAAGTATATTTATATTTACTTATTAAATACTCAAAATTTTTGGGAATAAACATCGAGGGAAGTGTTTATTTATAGTTATAATGTTTGATCAAAGTCAATTTTGGTAGATAGAGGTTTTTATATAATTTTTCAACTATATTTTACACTAGATGTGTGTTAAAATTTTCAATAAAAAGTATATTACAATAAATTCAATTGATAATGTTAGAAACTATTGCAGATTATTTAATTTTGCATAAATTTACCGAACATATTAGTAATATTTGACAAATAGTTGAAATACACAGTGTATGTCCTAAGGGAGTTATTCTAAACAAACTTTAATTAATTAAATTCCTGTAGGGTAAGTTGTAGTAATCGCAAAAAAATCGACAATGAAAATTTTTGCATAAATTTACGTTTCAAAGGTTTCTGAACATTTGATGTATGTGTGTGTGTGTGTATGTTTGGATACAATTTTTCGTCCACGATTTCGGGCGCACGGATCAACCGATTCAAATGATTCAAAAAACATTCGATTTCTATTGATAGGGAGACGTGCTGATTAGTTTTTGGCAAAGGCAGATTTAGCTGTTTCGGAGATACGGGGCAAAAAGTGCCAAAAACGGTATTCAGTTTTTGAGAGAACGGAGTACCCGATTTGAATGATTCCAAAAACATGTTACTTATATTCGTGATATGAACAATTGGTAAAATTTTCGGTAAGGCAGGTCTAGCGGTTTCGGAGATACAGAGGAAAATGTAAAAAATATTGATATTTTGCGGTCAAAAATGATCATTGGACATATGCACATCAACTTATCAGATATCTTATAGAGATTTTAAAAATGAGTACTAATTTTGTTACTATTTATTTTGGGTTCCGTACCAAGATTTTTAATTATTTAAGTTCGCCTATACGGTTCAAACAAATTTCAAAATTTTCAAAAATATGTATGTAAAAATACATAAATTTTAAATTTACAAATCAGTATATATTCCGTATGCGTTATTTTACTCATAAGAAATATATCCTCAGTTGGATTCATTTGGCAGCTCTTTTAACGTAAACATTTTCAAGTGTTTTGGGCGATAAGATGGTATATGAACGAATAAATATACAGTAATATTAATTTTGTCTTTGAAAATGTTTAAAATAATTGTTATTAATCATTGATAAATATTTCTTAATTATTAATTTTTGTGTTCGAATATTTACGGGAAATTCAAGAAATTTGCCTTAAGGCACGATGCTATGCACCACTAGTTTCTAAAATTAAACCACTTTTTGTAGGATTATAATATATCAGGCTGTTTATTAGACTTAAATGGACTTAAATCGCTCTTTAAAGACTTAAGGGGCACAACTAGTGTAACCGCCTAAAAAAAGGTGATTTTTGGAAATTTATATTTCAAAATTTTAGGAATATATTTATACATGTTTTAAGAATACATAGTACAATTTTTGAAGAGAAAAATTAAATATTTAAAGTTAGGCGTTTAAAGATACAATGATCGTTATACTATATACTGTATATATACTCTTTAAATGGTGACTCAAAAACTATTCAAGATATCGATATGAAATTTTGGTATGTTATTTTTAAAGGTATAACCTATCGAAATATGGAAAAATTGAAAATTCGATTTTTTGAAAATTTCACACTAGTTGTGCCCATTAATAAAATAAAATGAAACCTTGCTTAGTTGTTCATTCAATGTAAGCTTATATAAAAGCACTATTGTTTACCATTAAATATTTTACTATCAGCTTCTTTTATTAATATTTCAATTATTACATTTTACAAATTTTCCTCAAATATGACTCCTAACACCTGTGTCAAGATTATTATTTATTAAAAATCCACAACCACGTGCATCTTCTTAAGAAGGTCAATGCACCATGCACCATGCACCATTACTAAGTGTTGCATCTTAGAAGAAGACTTAGAAACAAGTTGTTAGTGCATCTTTTAAATTCCATAAGTTGCTTGGACAACTAATGCAAAAGTAAAAAAATAATTTTGTAATAAATTAATTCTTCATAATCTGACCACAAGTCTGAACAATAGTAATATTCTGGTTATTCTCTTACTTTTGGCCCAAACTGATGACACCTAATTAGTGTTAGAAAAATATATAAACAAGAAATAATGATCATTATAAATGATTCATTAATTTATATTATTAATATTAATAACATCACCACCCCCAGAATTAGAATTTATTGAAGGTTGTTAAGTTTGTATACAAACAAAAGATGTTTTGAGATGGTTTATCTTCCGTGCCTATAGATTGATTTTTAAAACTTCTTCAGGATAACTTAAGGAATATCCTAATTTCATGTTCTTTTGTGAATTTGATACTAATTTAAAAAAAAAGCAACAAATATATTCACTTTTTGTTTGTATTTAGATAAGGTATTATTCACTAAATACTTGTTGATTTAAATATATTTATTTAGTTTGTAAGATTTGTCATATTATAGTAACTTCCAGTGCCATGGCAATGTATTTTTCTATGTAAATAAATTACTTACTATATTAAAATTACTTACTATTGCGGTTACATAATTAGGTAAAAAAAATTGTACCAATATAAATTCAAAACGATCTTAAGAACAGATCCATTATGTTGTATGATCAATAATAATTTAAAAAATAAATAATAATAATATGATTATTTATAGACTGTTATTTAGCAATATATTTTTCTATATCCATATTTGCATAATCAAAAATATAGTAAAAATATTGGACTTTTCAAAATTTGAACATATTGTGGAATGAACGAAAGTAAATTAACTAAAAAAGTAAATTAGTTTGAAAATTAATTTTTTTGTTTTGTACTAAGAATTCGACACCAAAGTTAAATTTAACTCAAATGTTCTGTATTATTTTTTATAACTAATATTATTTCTCACATTATTACAGTTTGAAATTTAACTAGAAACATTATAGCATTTCGTTTCAGCTCATTAGTTAATTACTTATCGATTATATTATTATTGAATTATTATAAATAAACAATTATATATATTACATCATTTCCATTTAGCGATGGTCGTCTGTCGTGCCTTCGATTCTTGATGCAATTTTTTACTTTATTTGTATTTGTGATAAATACGAGATCTGATAGGACGCTTATTCAAACGATAAAATATTTTCTTATATTTCATTTTTTGTTTACTTCATGTATATGCTTTTAAAATTGTTAAGATGTATGTATCTAGTTTAAAATAAGAATTAAACATATTTAATTCATCCTTTCTATAGAAGTAATTTAAATAGGACAAAAATGTTTTCTGTTATTTCTTTCACGTTATCGAACTGTTGGGGATTTCAGGTTTTCTATTAATAAAATTATTTTTATTACCAAATAACAAACTGAGAAATTTCTTTGTTTGTTATTTGCTAATAAAAATAATTTAATTAATAAATCATTTTAAAGGGTTCAATATAATATATAATTTTGTTAAATAAATGATGTAATATTTTTCCATGGTTCCTTTTTTTTGCTTTTTTGACTAAAGTATGCAGTATATATTTTAAAACAAAATATAATAAAATAGTAGATTTTTCACCAGCTTCTATTTTTTATCCTCTACACCTGTGTATACATATGTGTTCATTGTTTAGCGACCATCATATATTTGTGTGGGACAAAAAAGGTGTTCACCATGTCATTCTCAAAATTCTTAAGCGAATTCTTGAATAAGCTTGCTATCCTATATTACTACAAGCTAAAAGTAACGCCAATTGGATTCAATTATTACTATTTGCTTGATTTTTTCTTGAAATACTTTTAAAAATTTATATTTTGATAACACTATTCGTATCTTAGCAAGGAGCTAAGTTGAAAAGATTGTCTAAGAATAGGTTGAAAATTGGAAGATGATATATCAACATTGACAAAATGATGATGAGAAAATAGATTGAGTAGAGTTAAAGCGAAAAATAACTCTTTTAAATTACAAATTAAATAGCAACATATAAGATTATAAGAAGACTCTCAAGAGGAACAAATAATCTGAGTACGAGGAAAAGGAGGTTTTGAACAAATTGCTTACATACCAAGAAGATAAAAATATAACTCTACTGACGAGCAAAATCAAAATTCAACAAGATAAGAAAAGAGTATTCTATTATCGAGCTGAATAGAAGATAAAAAGAGAACTTACTCAAAAGCAAACTGAAACTTCATGGATCAGAGATGTGGATTCTGAAGAAGGCAACAAGAATTGTCTACCAATATTAAGAAAATTATGTATTGAAAAACAAATTTCCTACCTAAAAAAAACTGATTTGAACAAATATTGAGAAAAGAGAGTCTTCTTCAAGATGCGATTGATGGGAAAATAGAAAAATGAAAAGATAAGAGCCAAGATGGTGGTCTTATATGGGAACAAACTAGTGGGGTGCATGGCATCGTGCCTTGAGGCAAATTGCTAGAACTTCCCGTTCCGTAATTAAATATTCGAGATGTTTATAAGAAATTTTTTTTTTTTTAAAATTGATTTTTTTGATAATTTAGATTTTTTTTTCCAAATTTTGAAATTTTTTAGAAGTTTGAAGTTTTTTGGAAATAAAAAAAAATTTCTAGATTTTTTAAGAATTTGTAAATTTTTGAAAATATTCGATTTTTTTTGAAAATTTCGAAATATTCTCAAATTTTTGTAAGAAATATTTGAAATTTTTCAATATTTAGTTTTTTTCTCGAAGCGCGTGAGCGCCCCGTCGCCGTCTAACAGATAAACATTGGTACGGAACCGATAGGAATGTGAAGAAAATTTATACCTTCTGTTAAAATCTCTATAAAATATCAGATAAATTGATGTGCATATGTCTATTGATCATTTTTGACCGCCAAATGGCATTTTTTTTACTTTTTTCACTAGATCTCCGAAA